TAACATTTGTAGTATTAAGTAGGATCTTTGTATCTTTAGATACCATAGGCTTGCTTGAAGGACAGTAGGAGGAAGCAAGGAGAGGGAGTTTTGAAGTGAACCGGAAAGGAAAGGAGTTCTGTTTTGTAGTAGATGGAAGGAAACAGACTTTGGAAGAGAAAAATATGGGGAGAAAGGAGGAAGGGTAGGAATTTTTAAACAGAGCTAGCCAAGGCTAAGAAAGTTTAGTTCTCATTATCAGGAACCTCTGGTCCCTCCTCTGATCCCTTGAAGCTTGAAGTGCCTCAGCAACTGCTACAGTAGAAAATATATTGTTAGCATCCAAGTATAACTTGAAACAGTTTTCTTTTATAAAGGGTGATAGTTATATCCTAGAGCTGCGCTATCCAGTACAGTAGCCAGTAGCCACATTGGACCACTTAAATTTAAATTAAAACAGATAAAAAATTTAGTTCCTCACTTGCGCTAGCTGTGTTTCAAGTGCTTGATAGAACAGTTCTCTATTGGGCAGCACTGTTCTAGAGAACTGAACTGTCTTATACACTACTGTTACTTGAATGCACTGTAATGAATGGCCTGGGATTCTCACTTCCATATATTCCAGGGTTTGTATGGGAAAATGAGTTTTGAGTTCCTGAAAACTGATTTGTACCAATGCTTTTTTTCATTCCAAATTCTAAAAGTCAATGGCTTTTATGATAAATAAAATTTTAAAATTAGGTCATTCTTCCCAAACTGTTTTGTGAACGTATTTGAAATAGAATTTCTAATACGTAACAGAAACAATAGATAATGAAATAGAAAAGAGCAACCTGAAACATAGAAGCACTTTAAGATGTTGTATTAGGGATAACAGACTTAAAGATATTTTAGTTTGGAAAGGTAGAACCTGGGAAGAGACATTAAAGATTGAAATTTTTGAATTAAAATCATCTGAAAAGTAAGCAGAGTTTACTTAAAATCTAGAATGAACATGTATTCTTTGAAATTTATTTGAGGTAAACCAAAATTAAAAGAAAATTCAATTTGGCTTATAGATAATTAACTTACAAAACTTATTAGTGGACTAAGTAGTACTAATAAGTAGTCTAGGTAGAATATGACTTATGATTATAGAGTCATATATAGTTAATATCATGAAATTGGATTATATCTGAGTTTTCAGGTAACCACAAGAAAGGATAGTCCTGCCCACCCAGGTTATCTCTTAGGTCTTTTATTGACCACAAATTACTGGCTAGGACCATGAATCTATATTGTATTCCTATGCTCCTGTTACTGGAAATTCAAAGCAAAACTGGTATTAGAAATCCTAGATTCTTAGATTAAAAACTGGAGTCGAGGCAGATAGAACAGATAAACATGAAAAAGTTATAAGTTTATAAATTGCTGAGCTGAAACTTGTGACTGTTATCTAGTGAAGTGCTACACGCTGTTCATTTTGAAATAATAAACTGGTAATGTAGCATAATCATTTTAGGTATGGAAAGAGTTAATACATGATATGTTCAAGAAGAAGTACGCAACTTCTAAAAATTTGGAATGCTTGAACAGTTTTTTAAGCAGATTTCTAACATAAGAAAAAGCAGTCTGTAACTTGATTGAATTCTTTTAGTTTCTCAGGGATAAATTGTTGCTTATGTACTTCATTGCATGAGTGAAAATAGAGAAGACAGTATTTATTGTAACATTAATTGTAAATTATAATTAATATATTAAGGTATAAATATAAGCTTAATATTCTTAAGGGAGGAAATGTGAAAATAGCATAGATTAGACTATCCAATAGGGCATAAATTATTTAGCTATATACAGGGATGGTATATTGCATCTTCTGAAAACTTCCTAGGTTTTTAAAATATTGTGCTGATTTTCAAATTGGTGTTTTCTCACATTGAATCAACTCCAACTTAGATGTTTTTTATTCAGATATTTAGGATAATGGGGGAGATAGTATGGTATGAATTTCTGCAAATAAAGAATTACACTCAATTATAGATCATACAGGAGCACAGTATGACTCTAAAATCAACTAAGTTGGGAAGTTGTCTAGAGTACTGTTTCACAGGCTTTAATGTACATGTGAATGATGTACAGATCTTGATAAAATGCAGATTTTTAATTCACTGGGTCTGGGTGGTGCCTGGGTATCCTGTAATTGTAACAGGTTCCCATGTGATATTGATATTGTCCTGAGTGAATATCAAGTAGAGTAACCTGTGACTATCTGAATATTTCTAAAGTAATCTTCTGTTTCAGCAATTCCATTGTTCTGGTAGCTCAGGTCAAAATACTTGAGAATTATCCTGGACTCTTGCTCTCTAGCACATAACCCACAATCTGTCAGCAAATCCCGATGGCCGTATTTTGAAAACACGCTGGAATGTGAACACTTTTCATCACCCTTGCTACTACTCTGGTACAAGCTACTGTCATCTCCTGCCTAGATTATCGCAGTAGTCTCCTTGCTGGCCTCTGCTTTTTCCTTTGCCTCCTCCTCTGCTTAAAACTCTCTACTGGCTCATCTGACTCAAAGAAGCCAATGTATTTCCCTTAGCCTATAAGGGGTTGCGTGATCTTACGTTCTGTTACCTCTCTGTCCTCATCTACTGCTTTTCCTCTCTTTCACTTTATCATAACCACACTTTATTTCAACTCTTTGTTGTTCCTTGAACACACAGACATGCCTCCTTTCCTCTGCCTTTGGACTTGCATGTTTGCTCTTCTTTCTGCCTAGAATGCAGTTCCTCTAAATATCTACATAACTCTTTTCCTTGGTTCTTTCAGATTTCTAGTTCAAGTGTCACTTTATCAGAAAGGCTTTCCCTAAACAGTCTGTGTGAAATAACAGCTTCTCCACTTTCTCACTTATTAGCCATACTAATTGTGTGTTTTATTTTACAATTGTATAGTTTTATTTTTCTTCTAAGCACTTCTCCATATCTAACATACTAGATATTTTACTTAACTTACTTTATTTATTGTATCTCCCTGACTAGAATGTAAAGGCAGGAATTTCTGTCTTCTTCAGTGTTGTACATAGAGGTTTGCCTAATAGTGTACCTATAACACTCAAGTCTTTGAATTAAAAAAAAAAAAATCCCACAAGAGGTCATTGGGCCACTGTTTGAATACCTTCATTGGTAGGTTATTTTACCACCCTTTGAAATAGCCCATTCCATTTGAAGATAAGTGCTAGCCTTTCTCCTTAAGCTTTCTGTTCTTCCAGGCTAACTTTCTTACTACTTTACATTTCTGCATATGATATGGTTTCCAGGGCTGTCAGCATTTTAGTCATCTTCCCTGGACATTCATCATTTTGTTGTTTGTCCTTAAAGAATAGCATCAGAACTAAAATAAATGTTGCAAATCTAGGCTGAGTGGGAATTTTTCTTCTTGTTTTTGACATTCTGCTTTTATTAAGGCAGACTATGATTAAATTAACTTTTGAAAAACTAATCCTGACTCATTTTGATTTTTTTTTTTTTTTTTTTTGGTGAGGAAGATTCACCCTGAGCTAACAGCTGTTGCCGATCTTCCTCTTTGTTCTTTTGCTCGAGAAAGATTAGCCCTGAGCTAACATCCGTGCCAAGCTTCCTCTATTTTGTATATGGGTCGCCGCCACAGCATGGCTGATGAGTGGTGTAGGTCCATGCCTGGGATCCGAACTTGTGAACCCCGGGCTACCAAAGCAGAGCATGCTGAACTTAGCCACTACACCATGGGGCCAGCCCCTCATTTTGAATTTTTAATCCACTAAAATCTTTAAATCATTCTTGTGTGTGCTACTAAGTTTATTCTGCTTTACAGCTGGTTTTTGAACCAAAGTACGGGTCTTTACATTTCTCCTTATTTGACCTAATAGAGAATTTTCCTGGGCAGTATGTACCTTTAGTGTAGAAACTAGCATGTGTAAATTATTTGAGAAACTAGTAGAAAAATTACTTTATCTATATATGGGAGAATCCTAACTGATGAAATTGGGGATTTCTTGTGCCAAAACGTGTTGGAACAGTTCATTGCAATCATGTGTCTTGTGTGAATTCAAGAAAGAATTCTAAGAGTTGGTTTAAAAAATAATTTTACTTCATAAATTTGTTCCCCTTGACTGACAAATTAATTTCGTTTCCCACGTTTCTCATCTTGCCTCTTGTAATCACCATTTTCCTAGTCCTCTAGGCCAGAATAATCTCTGACTCCTTCTCTGTACTTATTTAGTCACCAAATCTCAGAAATTCTTTAGCTCTGAAATTTCTTGCTTTTCTCTTCACTTCACAGCTGGTTACTCTAGCTATGCAAATCTCTCTGCTTCTACTCTTTCCCCACTATAATCCATTCTGTGCTTGCTGGCAAATCATTCTTATAAAAGATTCATTTACATCACTTTTATCATGTCCATCTTCAAGGGAGTCTATAAGATTGAATCTAAACTTCTCAATCATTAGAGATCCATCTATAATCTAGCCCTACTTGATTTACATTGCTCTGCTTGTTGCTTTCATTACCCCTCATGGTAGTCTTTCAGATGCCCATCCCTCCTCAGTGTGCACACACACTGCTCTCTCTTACACTCACAACTCACCCACTCACTCTTGTTCTTACAGATTGGCCTAGCTAAATGCTATTTTATTCCTTCATACTATGTTACTCCTTAAATGCCTTAAGTTCCTGAACACATATAACCTATCTTCTCAATGAAAACTCCAGTCCAAATTGGTGTCTTTTCCCTAAACTCCAGTTGTATTTAAGTCTGTACCACACAATTTATCATTTAGTCTTTGTTGCCTAAAACTTATATAAGGCTTTTCTTTTCAGTGAGACTGTGAGCTTGATGGCAAGGAGTATAAAATAGTACTGGATTATCTGGAAAATTTACTGGCTTGGCTTGTGACTGTGTTCTTTTATGTGTAACGTAATTTCTTACAGTTCCGGGGGTTTTTTTGTTGATATTATTGGGAGAAGGCAAACATAAAAATTCTCTATTGTAATTCATTCTGTAGGAAACCCTTTTTCAAGGAGAAATGAAGAAGAAAACTGTATATACCGTAAATGTGGGAGATCAGGAGTATGAAGATATGGAAGGTAACTTTTCATTTTTGTAAAGCTTGTGTGTTGAAAGCAAACTCATTGTTTCCAAACTGTTTGTTTGTTTACATTTCAAAATACTCAAGTTTTTTGTTTTTACTTTTGTTGTTCTTAAAGTCTGACTAAGTTGCCTGAATAAGAAATGCAAACATTTTTTTTCCTCCTCCTGTGTCTTATTTTTCATTGGTCAAGGTTTTTGGTTTGTTGAGCTCTTTTCTTTTTCTTATTAAATTTTTGCTCCCTACTGGTTTCAGAATTACATAGTTTTTCCATTTTTGTTGTTGTTTTTTGTTTTTTAAAAATAGTTAGCATTGATGTTTTCCTCTGCTTCTAAAGTTAATATTTTAATCTTCACCGTCAACAGTAGAAGAACCTTAGAACACTTGAACAATGATTATCCTACTCTCAGTTTATAGATTATAGTTATCCATCATTTTAATTGATTCCTTTTTTTTTTTTTCAAACACCACAAATTAGATGACATTTTATACAGACAGTATTTTTAGGGGGTTTCTTTCTTTTCCATTTCTTTTCCTCTTCCTGAAAAAAACCTTAAGAAGTTCCTTTAGTGAGAGTCTATTGGTGATAAACTCTAAGTTTTTGCATTTATTTTATCCTCTTCAAAACTATTCAAAGATAGATGCACAATTCTGAATTGGTAGGTTTGTGTTTGTTTTTCTCTTAGCACTTTGAAGATATTATTTAGCCATTTTCTGGTTTTCTTTCTTGCTGTCAGGAAATCTCTTTTCAGCCTAATTATCATTCCCTTGTAGATGATGTCTTTTCCGTCTTTTTGCTTTTAAGATCTTGTTTTCATCTTTGATATTATACAGTTTTGCTACATTGTTTCTAGGCATGGATTATTTTCATTTCTCCTGTTTAGCATACACTTTGTGTGTCTTTATCTGTTGGATCTTGTTTTTTTGTTTGTTTTATCATTTCCCAGCCATTACTGCTTTAACTATTGCCTCTCCTTTAGTCTCTTCTTCTGGACTTCAATTAGTATGTTAGACTTTGTTTTGACCTCATTTCGCAACCTCTCTTTCACAGGTTACATCTCCTTGTCTGTCTCTTACAGTCTAGGTAGTTTCCTCAGATCTCTGTTCCAGTTCACAGATATTCTTTTCTTCTGGATCTAATCTGCTCTTTAATCATTCTTTGTAATGTTAGAAAATTCTGATATTTGAAACCACTGAGTATCTAAATAGATTTATAATACATATAATATATAAAAAAATAAGTAAATCTAAATAGATTCTTGTTTCTGCTGATTCTTACTCAAGGTAACTTATTTTCCTGGGTTTGATAATGTTTGATTATGAGCTCATATTTGATAAATTTAATCTGTGGAATCCTGAGGGTCTAAATTAGGGATGCTTTCCTCCAGAGGATTTGTGTTTGCTTTTTCCTGAACCCGTGCCGGGACCACTGTAGCCCCATTTGAGGGTCGTGGCTTAACATTGGAATCTCTCAGGATTGGTTTCCCTATGTAGGTTGGCCCTAAGGATTAGTCTCCAGATCTGAACGCAAGTGTATGGATATTTGCTCCCAGGGCGATCCCAGCTTTTCCATTTGCTTGGTGTATGCTGTTCACATTTCAGTTGACCATTTCTTTATTTTTGTTTTATTTTATGTTGAATCTTGGAGTTTCTTTTATTTACTTTTAAGACTGCAGTGCATACTTTTGTATGTTGGTTACATTGCTGGTGGGCATTTAAATTAGTACAAACCCTAAGGGGTATAATCTGGCCATATCTGTTCAAATTACAAATGTACATACACCTTGATCTAGCAATTTCATTTTTAGGAATTTATCCTGTAGATATCCTATAGGTATTAAAAATGTGAAATGACAAAGTTTTTTATTGCAGCATTGTTTGTAATAGCCAAAGGTTGAAAACAAGTGAATGTCCATCAGTAGGTTAAAACAAAAAAAATGCAGACTAGTGTGTATAGTGTTCTAGCATTTATGTGAAGAAGTTTTGAAAGAATACGTATTAGATGTACTTTTCTTTGCGTTAAAGAAATCTTTCGAAGAACGTAGAAGAAACTAAGCAGTTGTTGCATGTTGTGTTGGGCAGAACTGGATGAATAGGGGTAGATTTGAGTGGAAGATTTGTCAGTATAACCTTATTTTTTTACTTTTAAATTTTTGAAGCACGTGACTATTACTTATTTTAAAATTAAATTCGTGAAGAATTCACTCCCCCATTAAAAAATATAAATTAGTAGTAAATGTCGTAAGTGTTGTGCTCAAGGAGTATGTTTGTTATAATGTATCTAAGGTCTAATTACTTTGTAGTAGGAGAGGCCTTTAGAGTATCTAGTCCATGATACTCCCACAAGCATAAGTCATTTGGTCTGGCCAACTTGAAAGCATTTATGGCTGCTTTACTTTATAGGTGAAGAAAACAAAGATAATACTGCTACCACTGGTCTGTTGTACAGTGAAGCTGACAGATGTCCAATATGTCTTAATTGCCTATTAGAGAAGGAAGTTGGTTTTCCAGAAAGCTGTAATCATGTCTTCTGCATGACTTGTATTCTTAAATGGGCAGAGGTAAGTCTGAGAATAAGTATTAAATATTATTGTACTTTAGTTCCCCAGCATGATTTCATTCCACCTAGTCTAAAGAGTTGATACTGCCTTTCATTAAGTTATTTCACAGAAATGTGTTTTCCCCTTACTTTGGACAAGTTTCTCTGTATTTTTCAAATTCCGTCAGTATATTTCCTTCTAACTTTCTTTCATTCAGCTTTCTGTTCTTTTATACTTAAAATTTTTTAAATGCATACCTTTTTAAAAAAAACTTAACCTTTCTAGAAAAAAGATTAAGTATTTTTTCTAGTAGAAATGCAATAATTCATCTTCAATGTACTTGACCCCCTTGGGATATCTGTTCACTACTAATAATACCACCTTGTGTCTGCTTTGTGTTTTATATTTTTCCAATAATTTTTACATAGATTATTTGATTTCTTCTTTATATCAGCCTTGTAGGATAACCAGAGCAGATGTAATGGTGTCCTTTTCTCAAGATGAGGAAACTTAGATTTTGTGTTCTATATCTTGGCCCCAAGATCTCCTAGCTTAAGAGGCAGAAGTGAATTTAGAACTGTATTTTCTAATTCCTGTTTTTAATTTAGTATGAACTGATTTCAGAGTCTGAGTTAGAGATTATTACTGAGGTTCTTCATAGATAGTAAATGATTAAGAAACAGGACATTTTTGACTTTCACTGTATTATGTTGACTCAATTCCAGCCAAGTAGATCATGGTATTGGTACATTGACTATTCATTATAAAGCCTCATTGTTATGAATTGTGAAATAAAAATTTGTTTGTCATATTAATCATGCTATATTTTCTGAGTTAGTAGTTTGTCAGTTTGTAAAAATTAGTAAAGGAGATAAATCTCAAAAATATTTTTAATATTAGCTGCGTTCAAATTGTTTGATGTCCCTAAGCAGATTGGAATTAATCACTTATTACATAATTGGGATTTTCAGAGTTCTATGTTTTACTTATATTTTCATTAATAGTGTGGAAGGGAGGACATAACTGTATACAGACTCTGTGGCTGAGTTCTGGGGGGAGGAAGAAAAGATTTGTTATACCAATTGAATTAATAATAGTATACTTGGAAACAGTTGTAATTAGATTAAAACCTAAACTGGTCTTTGGCAAGAAGGGACTAAGGATAGGTGAAAATGTATTTTGGGGAAATAGTTTTTTGAGTTTAATTTAATTGTTCAATACAGTTGTGGATCTCTGTATGTTTGCAGGAGCATTAACTAATGAAATAAGAATGCATGTTTTTCTCTGCCACCCAACTAAAGATTTCATTGAATTTAGTGTACCTTGGTTTGCTTTGTGATTAAATATTTTAAAAATAGAGGAGATGTTGCTTTCAGTAGAGAAACAATATTACTGGATGGGTAGAAGGTTTCAATTCAAAGCTTTTCATGAGATGGTATTCAGTGACCACATAATTGTGAAGTTCAACAACATAATCTGAATATGTGTTTTTCTCTATGAAAATTAGAATATATGAAGTAGACATAATTATCCATCCTTCCTTACACTCTACATGCATGTTTCATACAACTGTAAGCTTTATCATGGTGTACATGTTCCGGGGTTCTCTAAGGTATGTATCTAGAAGTGAAACTACTAGGTTGTAGACTTTGTACATATTCATCTCTACTAGACAGTGCTCAATTTATCTATGTTTTTAACTCTTGTTGAATATTTTTAAGTTGAAAATACTTAATAACATACACAGTGTTGCAGTCAACACCTTTCTTGCATGTAATATTTTCCTTTTGTGTCAGCTCCTTTGGATATAAACCTTCTGTTGAAGCCAAATTGCTTTTAAAAGAAAGTACATACTTATCTGCTGTACTATGGTAAATTGTGAATAGGTGGAGGGGAGTTGTGGTATTGTTTAAACAAAATAATTAACCTCGAAAGTGGAGAATAAACAGAGAATATTCTGAATTATTTCATTGTCCCTAATGGGGATCAGTTAAATAGACCATTAAGTTGAGCAGTAACAAGAACACAATCTACTAATAAATTGTTCATTGTAAATAATAAATGAATACCAGTTAACAAAATCACTTAGGCCTTGAACTAAATTTTCAGTTTGAATCTTTTATTGGTATGGTAAAAATTGGTTGTGTTTTGAAGTATGTATGTGCTTTGACAAATAGAATCAGATTTTTTGAGATTCACTAGGGGCTTTTTTCACAGCCTTTAGTTGTTAAGCTGTCTCCTTTCATTTTCCTCAATCCCTTTCTGTTTTTAAAAAGAGACATGCAGTTTACTTTGGATTTCAGGGTTAGGAGTAAGTGTCTGTATTTAGTCTCCTAACTGGCCCCAGGCCCTATGCTAAGGCTTTCTTACATATTCTTTCATTCAAATCATTATTTGATGTATATTTGATATTCAAGGCAAGAATTCTGAACTCTGATTTGTTTCTAAATACCTCAAGGGATAGCCTGAGATTAAAATAATTTTTAAAAATTGATCCATAGTTTAAAATTTTACTCATGTTCACTTCTAGTAGGAAGGTAGAAATCAAAGTGAGATTTACAGTCGTTTTAAATCTACATAAGGAAATAGTACAAAATGTTTTCAGGATTATCTTCCTAGTCCAATGTGTCTTTCAGAAATTCAGCTGAGCTGTCTGAGATTTATATTCAAGGTTCACTGAAATATGATTCAGAGTTGATATCAAGAACCAAAAAGAAGGACTCATTTATTTACTTTCACCTTAATATTTTATGCATAGAAGAAATTCTGCTCCATAAGAAATAAGTAAAATTAAGGTATATAGTAGTCTAGTATATTTATTTTTGACACCCTTCTGAAATTTTTCATGGTCTTAAAATATCTGTATCCCAAGTCAAAGTTAGTTTCAGTGTCTTCAGGCTCTAAAATTTTGGTTCTGTGGTTAAGACAAAGCCATGTAAGGACTTTTAAAGTGACTAAGTAACTGGACTTAGTTTCTGGATATTTTATAGAATCCACTTTACCTAGGGCAAAAAGATTCAGGATAATGAAAGCTCTAGTGGCCTTCATGGCCCATAGCCTAATTGCCTGCCCTTGGGGACACTAGAACAAATTGAGATTAAGCATGTCCACTATGACTATGTTTAGTTCCGAGGAACTTATAGATGGTAAGCCTATTAGTTTTTGAAATAATAATGATGGTATAGAAATAGAATGTTGAACTAAACAAAGATACAGTAATTGACACTTAAAGTTGAAATTTTTGTTAATTTAAAGCATCAATATTAGAGCTGAGAATCTGAAACTAAACAAAAGAAGGCCTCAGAACTGATGAAATATGAATAGAGCCAATACAGTAAAGTTTATCAGCCAAAGTTATTTATTTCACATATACTGTGAGCAAAAACACAGTCTAAACATATCGAGTTTTTAATTTGCACATAAGTTTAACATAGATCATCTGAGTTTGCACATTTTAAAGTAGAAGATAATTAGTAAGGTGAAGGCTAGAGAAGTCTTGACACATGGCTGTAGTAGCAACAGCTGATCATAATTATGATCCCCTATAGACAATAAGATACACCCTCCACACATACACTGGTTAAGAAGATACAATTTATGATTTGTCACGATGCCAAGAAGTAGTTAAAATTTTCGCTGTTAAAAGGTTTGAGGACTTGGAAACATTTTGTGTTTGAAGCGTTTAAGAGTTTTTACTCTATTCCCTTATCTTTTAATAATTTTTTAAAATTTGATTAACTTTCCTATTATAAGCAAATTATCCTCCCTCAACTTATGTCAGTCCCGCATTTCATATCAAATGCTCATAGCTTCAGTTTGAGAAAATAAGGTTAATAAAATCAAAATTGGACAGTTGGCAAAGGTATGTTTTCTCTCATGAGACTAGAAATGCAGTCTTACTATGATGACGTAAGAGTTCTTAAAGAAGTCAACAACAGTGTTCAATGCAGACAGGTGAAGAGTATATTTTTTAATTAATAATACATACCAAAAAAAGCAAAATATGACTAGTTGACTTATATCTTGACCACTAATGTGTTTTATATACAGGTGTTCCTTGAGTAGAAATTTACACATCATTGTGGTGATTAGATTACTTGTCAATAACATAATTCAGCAAAGCTTTATTGTCTGGCTCTTTTTTTTTTTTTGTGATGAAGATTAGCCATGAACTAACTTCTGTTGCCAATCCTCCTCTTTTTGCTGAGGAAGATTGGCCCTGGGCTAACATCCATGCCCATCTTCCTCTACTTTATATGGAACACCGCCACCGCGTGGCTTGATAAGTGGTGCATTGGTCTGTGCACGGGATCCGAACCTGAGAATCCCAGGCCGCCGAAGCAGAGCATGCAAACTTAACCACTATGCCACTGGACCAGCCCCTATTTTCTGGCTTTTTAAAATCAGTTTTTCCTAAAATTTTTATTTTTCTTTATTCCTGAACTAAACCAAACCTCTCGGTTATGTATTTCTCTAGAAGAGTAATTTAAATGTATCTGTGGGGGCCGGCCCTGTGGTGTAGCAGTTAAATGGGCGCTCTCCGATGCTGGCGGCCCGGGTTCAGATCCCAGGTGCGCACCGGCGCATTGCTTGTCAGGCCATGCTGTGGCGGTGTCCCACATAAAGTGGAGGAAGATCAGCACAGATGTTAGCTCAGGGCCAGTCTTCCTCAGCAAAAAGAGGAGGATTGGCAGATGTTAGCTCAGGGCTGATCTTCCTCACAAAAAAAAAAAAAAAAACAAAAATAAACGTATCTGTGGAGCACTACTATTAGTCCTTATCTTTATAATTTATAAAGTGTTGTCAAATACATTGTTTCATTTAATTATTACAACCTATGCAATAGGTGATTCAGGGCTATCTGTCTTTACCAAAGTGGGTTAGAGAGCTTGCTAGCTCTGACTCCTCCAGAACTTGAATTTGTGACTAATTATTTCAAATCCCCTGTTGTTTTCGGTCTGTGGATTAATCCTTTGGTAGAGCAAAGAATATTTTTACATTATGAACACTCATTGCTTAAA